AACTCTAGCCGCCTGCCCTCGCCGGAGAAGACGAACCAGACGCCGGAGGAGCCGGCCGCCGCCACCCGCCGCCGCACCAGGGAGATTTCTGACCGCCGATCGAGGTAAATTTCATACCCCCGACTCGTTTTTCCACGCTGAGTTCCCCTGTGGCCAAATCGGAGCCAAAATCTCGGCCAAACGACCGGAAAACACGGCCGAAACCCAGCGGCGCCACCGCACCCCTCCTCGGTTTTTGCCTCCGATGAGGCCCTTCCCGGCCTCTGTTTGATGCAATTTTTATATCACCGTGATCACCATTCTTTTCTCTACAGATTGATCAGAGCCGAATCACCAAAACACGAACCTCACCGGAGAGCCGCCGCACCCGAGAGCACCGCCGCCGGTAAGATTCAGTTTTTCGTAATTTTTTGGCCCCCCGAGGGCCCTAGGGTTGTTTTATCACAGGGACCGATGTAAGTGTGGCCGAATTCGGCCGGAAACGGTCGAAAACGGCCAACTTGAGGCGAATTGCCGCCGCAAGCGGCGGAGCCACCGTGCCAGAATTGCGATATTGGTCGAAAGGGGCCCTGGGTCTAATTTGGGATTTTTTTGGAACACGTGCAGGTACCAGTAGTGCGTTTCAGTTCCCCGGAAAAAATTCAGGTAAAATTAGGGACAGCCTGTAGGCGCACTGTGGAGCCGTGTTCGGACTCCGAAAAGAGTAAGAACCCCTCACCCTATTTCCTATCATGGTATTAAAGTTCAATAATGATAAAACAGTATTTCTTGAATCAACGAATGTGTGAAATTGCTTAAGGTCGCTAATGGAGTCCGAGTCTAGTGTGTTTGTCGGTTAACTTTTATTTGGCCTATTTTACAGTTTTAAATGCAATATGAGGTCTGATGTTTTCATTTCATAGTTTCGTGTGCATATTTTACTGTTTTATTGATTATGGGTTGAATGACTGAGAAACCGATGCTGTATGTTGCCTTGTTTGGCATAAATTACTGTTTTGCTTGTTTGTGTGTGAATTGACGATGCTGACTGAGGAAAAGGGGAATGAAAGGTTATGTAAATTGATAATTATATAATGTGATCAGCCTGACTAGATATCCTGGGAGATGGTGGACAAACCGGGTCCGTAAGAAACCCTACCGGGATTGTGGTCTCTCATACCGGACGGGGTATGGAGACTCTAAGTGTTTTGGCGCCCATATCGAACGGGGTATGGGGACGGCCCGTTTCACCCTCATACCGGACGGGGTATTGAGGTTTATAGTTTTGGCGCCCATACCGGACGGTGTATGGGGACGGCCCTGGAATCTGATTATAAGTGTTAAGGGTTCACGGGTAGCGGGACCCCTATGGATTCCCACGGATACTAGTAGGCTGGTAAAAGAGGAAAAATATGTTGTGTAATGATTGAATTACAAAAGGCGTGATAAGTATTATGTTATACAGTTTATATGATTTCATGATGATGATAATGTTATTGCTTTCGTATATTGTTTTATGAATTTCACCGAGGTAAGTGGATGGTAAAGGTTTTATTATTGATAAAATGATTTGTTGTAAATTATGCTCCATTGGTCTTTTTGTGTTTTCTACCTACCTTTACCTCCGTGACGGTGAGATATCGTGATGTCTTTACTGGGCTAGTGTAGCTCATTAATTATTTAATCATTTCAGATCAGGAAGACATTGTTCCCGAGCCCGATCCGCAGGAAGACGACGAAGGGGACGCCTAAAGACTCTATAGTCATATTCATAGCTTTTACTTTCGAGTTTCTCTTTTTGTTAGTTTGATCTTTTATATTTTGAGCACGTTTTTAGTTTTAGTGTAAGGGATGTTAATCGAAATTTTGACTTCGCTTCCGCATTTGACATTTTTAATACACATATGTCATTTTAAATTTCCGGGGCCGTTACATTTAATTTATTTTATTTAGTTTATTTTATAATTATTGAATTTTAATTGATTTATTTAATTTAATTTAATTTAATTTAATAAAAATAAAAATGATAATAATGATAAAATTGGGTAAAAATATTATTTGGATTTAATTGAAATTGATTTTGAGAAAAATGGGTGAAAATTTAGATTCTGGGGGTATTTTTGAAAAGAAAATCGGAAACCGGGGGTCAAAACGTAATTTAGAAAAAATTGTGCCCCGTTAGCGCCACATCAGCAGCCACGTCAGCAGCCCTGGCCAACCAGGACCTGCCACGTGGCAAGGCCACGCCGACCCGGGAACGGGCCACGAGGGTGATCTGCATGCGCGCGATCGGACGGCCCAGATGCATCCCCGCGCGCACGGACGGATCAAGCGTGCGCAAGGACGGCCCAGATGCACGTGCACGAACGGCCCATATGCACGCGCATGGACGGCCCAAATTCAATCAAGTACGGACGGCCCAGATTTAATCGCGATTGACGGCCCACATTTAATCCAAATTAAATCACGATCGAACGGTCCATATTAAATCAAAATGGACGGCTGTGATTAAAAGGCAAATGGTATAAATAAACCCCCCACACCTGACCACAAAAACCCTAGCCGCCAGCCCTCGCCGGAGAAGACGAACCAGACGCTGGAGGAGCCGGCCGCCGCCACCCGCCGCCGCACCGGGGAGTTTTCCGACCACCGATCGAGGTAAATTTCATACCCCCGTCTCGTTTTTCAATGCTGAGTTCCCCTGTAGCCAAATCGGAGCCAAACTCCCGGCCAAACAGCCGAAACTCAGCGGCGCTGCCGCGCCCCTTCTCAGTTTTTGCCTCCGATGAGGCCCTTCCTGGCCTCCGTTTGATATAATTTTTATATCACCGTGATCGCCATTCTTTTCTCTACAGGTTGATCGGAGCCAAATCACCAAAACACAAACCACGCCAGAGAGCCGCCGTACCCGAGAGCACCGCCGCCGGTAAGCTTCGGTTTTTCGTAATTTTTTGGGCCCCTGAGGGCCCTAGGGTTGTTTTATCGCAGGGACCGATGTAAGTGTGGCCGAATTCGGCCGAAAACGGCCAACCCGAGGCGAATCACTGCCGCAAGCGGTGGCGCCGTCGCTGGAGCACGGCGAAGCCGCCGTGCCGGAATTGCGATATTGGGCCGAAAGGGGCCCT